AAATGGATAAATTTTAAATTGATGAAGTATATCCTAACGGCTCCACAGTTTAACTACCGGACAAGCTTGCTGTAACCGAAGTCAACGTAAACAAGCCTAACGGCAAGAATAACTCAACGCCATAGAATTCTGATTGAGAAAATTCAAGTTTCGATTGTGAAGGAAGAACTGTGTTCAAAAGCAAAATTATTTACGAGGTATACTCTTCCTCTTTCCAGCATGCCTTCATAGTGTAACGGTAGCACACTCAGCGCTTATTCGAGAGCTCCAGGTTCAAGTCTCGGCGAGAACATTGCCCATTTTTCATATCTCTTGCTTTTTCCTTTTTTTTTTTTTTTTTTTTTTTGTTTTACGCCTCATTTTTAAAACAAGTCACAGCCATTTCTTATCAGATTGATTGTTTCTTTCAATACTGGCATACAATTACATAGAATTTTTACCCAGATAGTTCAATTTTATGACTTAAGGCCATTCGCGGTAATTAGTCAATTAGGATACAATCACACTGCTTATCCGAAGGCGAAAATATAGAAAATGCAAAGTCGGGGTTTAAATTCATCAGTTCTAATGAGAATGCACTAGCGAAGCAAAGCACTGCGGTTTTACATAATTTCTGAGTAAGCTATTGGTACGAATTGAAATAATTCTTGCATTTAAATGTGTATTCCAAATTAAGATTTATCTTGAAATTAATGCAGATAATTACTGAGAGAATCAGATTTTTGTAGCGTAGTTTACGTGGGATGAGATCACTTGGGATCACATGATACGAAACGGCGAATTAGGATGTTGTACAATGAAAGCATCTAGTAAATTCTTAAATTAATGTCTTTTTACAAATTTATCGGCTTTATTTATTGTCTTTTTACAAAATTTTGAACGATTTTAAAATGTTTATGCTTTCAAAATAAGAATTAAAATTTCTTAACTATTTGTTAACATTTTTTATGTGTTTTATTTTTTATGTGTTTTATTTTTTGTTAACATTTTTTATATTTTTTATGTGTTGTCGCCAATAAAGTCTGCTTGGCGAGATTTGCGCCGGCGAAACGGAAAAGTACCAAAAATTTTTTTTTTATTCTTTATGATAATTTATGTAATTTTATGTTGCGGATGATGTAATGAATGCCGTCACATTTTAAAAGTAATTGGTTTTAATATCTGTAAATTTAATCTAATGTTTTAAGCATTATTTATGGATGTTAAATATTAAAATACTATTTAATTTTGCATTTTTTAAATGATATTATTATGTATGATTATTTAAATAATTTTATATCTATGCGTGATGTAATTAATTCCCTGATTGGTTACAGAATATTTGTGCATTAACGAGCTGTAATCAGCTCCCTGATTGGTTACTGAATATTTGTGCATTATCGCGTCATTTTAAAATTTTATTATTCATCTCTTCGAATTCCTTACATTTCATAGGGAACGGATATGTCCCTCTCAAAGATTAATGATGTTATTGTTAAGTACCAAGACTTATTGGTATCAGAATCAAAAAATTGTCATTTGAGACCTTATTTTGGCCAACCTGGTTTTCCCTAATCAAAGATATTTATTTATAAATTGTTACAAGGGTCAGAGAAAATTTATTTGAAGTTTTTGAAGGAAATCTCGCTAATTGTTTCTTCAATGAAGTGCAAGAAATGTGGATAACAGAGGAAGATCGTTAGAAGAGCCGATTCTGAAGACGGCCGTATTTGGTATTGTGGTTTCACGGTAGAACAAATAACCGCTGTAACGGTAAAAAAGTATTAGACATTCCTCATTTTTTACCTGCAGTAAACTTCTAATTGCTGTCATTTTAGCTCTAGTATACGAAGCGTCCTTATTTACTTATTTTAAAGTATCTGAATTTAAGGAATTTTGATGGTTTTTAATTCAATATTCAGTTTAAGTAATATTTTAATCCGATTAAACGTTGGCGCAATGTTTTTATTCTATTTCATTGCTATATGAAAGTAATAATTTAACCTTACTTTAGTATTTTATACTCGTAGTAAATGTATTTATTTACATTTGCCTGCCATCTTAAAAAATAACGTTTTTTTTTTTTAAATTAATCCATTATTTTTAACAATATTTATTTTTTTTTTAAAGTTTCGAATACTTTACTATGGGCAAAATACGTAAAAACAACGTTTTTCAAGATGGCTGACGATTGTTAAAACCGCGCTAACAACTGCTCCAAAGTAAAGAGCCAAAAATCCGTGCAACCGTCTACCAAAGTAGCACCCAAAAAAAAAAAAAAAAAAAAAAAAAAAAAAAAAAAAAAATCAATAACTCTACAGTGGCGAGCGAAGTAAAAGGTGGTGGGCAATAATTCGTTACCACCAGTATTTAGCGATTGGGTCTTGGGTCTCCTAATTCCCAGTCGCTGTTGTAAAAGGGATATAAGCATACTCGATGCGCATTCGAGATATCCAGGGTCCGAATTCTGGCGAGGGCACTTCCTATTTTGCAAGTCTTATACTTCAAAATAACCTGGGGAATCTGCATATTTATTCTTAATTTCTTAATCTTTTATTCTTATTAGTTTTTTGATTTAAAACGCAGTTTTCACTGAAATATAAATTTCACCTCATTAAAGTTACGGTGCTACTTTGGTAGACGGTTGCACGGATTTTGGCGATTGTTTGGCGAGTAATACAACTTATGGTAAACCCATTGCTGGACAAGTTATTTATGGTAACCGATACTTTGTTGTCATTTTATTAAAAAAATAATGCGTTTTATTATGCATAACTTCCGTGTTTTAAATATTATTCATGGCTTCTAAATATTAAAAATCAATTTAATTTTACATTTTATTTGAAATAAAATTTTGTTGTTTATAATATTTTATATCATTTTATATTGTTGATGATGTAATCAATGACGTCACCTTACTTAAAAAGTAATTGGTTTTTATTAATATCTATAAATTTAATCTAATGTTTTTAAACATTGATTTATGGCTGTTAATATTAAAATACAATTTAATTTTGCATTTGTTTTAAAAATGATTTTATTATGAATGATTATTTAAATAATTTGGTACTTTTCCGTTTCGCCGGCGCAAATCTCGCCAAGCAGACTTTATTGGCGACAACATACATTATACACACAAAAAATATTAAAAAAATGTTAGTCCTAAGAATTCTTTTTTTGAAGGCATAAACATTTTAATATCGCTTAAAATTTTATAAAAAGCCAATAAATAAAGACAATAAATTTATAAAAAGACATTAATTTAAGAATTTACTATGCTTTCATGATTGAACATCCTGTTTCGCCGGTTCATATCACGTGACCCCAAGCGATCTCATCTCACGTATACTACTCTACAAAAATATAATGCTCTCAGTAATTATCTACATTAATTTCAAGTTAATTTGGAACACAAGTTTAAATGCAAGAAATACTTCAATTCGTACGAATAGCTTACTCAGAAATTATGTAAAACTGCAGTGCTTTACTTCGCTAATGCATTCTCATTAGAATTGATTAATTTAACCCTTGACTTTACCTTTTCTATATTTTCGGCCTCGGGTAAGCGCTGTGATTGCATCCTAGTTGATTTAATTGCCGAAAATGGCCTTAGACATAAAACTGAACTATCTGAATGAAGCGTAAAAGGTTACCAGCGAGAATATTCCGTTTGGCATCGGTTGTACCATTATTGGCGACTTTATCGCTTGCGCCGGCAAAACGGAAAAGTACCAATAATTTTAATTCTATGCGTGATGTAATCAGCTCCCTGATTGGTTACTGAATATTTGTGCATTACCGCGCCATTTTAAAATTTTATTATTCATCTCTTCGAATTCGTCAGATTTCAAATGGAATGAATATCTTCGTTTCGAAGATGAATGTTGTTATTGGTAATTACCAAGAATTATTGGTATTGGAATAAAAAAATTGCCCTTTGAGACCTTATTTTGGCCAACCTGTCTTTCCTAATCAAAGATTTATTTAGAAATTGTTAATAGCGTCAAAGGAAATTTATTTTAATTTTTTTGAGGAAACCGCGCTAATTGTTTCTTCAATGAAGTGCGAGATATGTGGATAACAGATGAAGATGGTTAAAAGAGCCAATTCAATTATAATTTAGATTTTTTTTTGAGGTACTTATCAATAAACAAGAGGTTAAATTACTCCAAAAATGTAAGTACATATTTTTCTTTTATTTTATAATTGTATACTTCAATTTTTATTAAAAAAATTAATACACTATTTTCAAAAATTGCTGAGATAATTATTGTCACATATGTTTTAATGTTAATTATATTTTATATAATGTATTTTAAAGTATTTGAATTTAATAATATTCTAATTCTTTTAAATGTTGGTAGGATGGTTTTTAATTCGATATTCAATTTCAGCAATATTTTAATGTAATTAAACGTTGGCACAATGTTTTTATAGCGGTGTTTTTATTCTTTTTTTCGCTATATGAAAGTAATATTAGCCTTACTTTAGTATTTTATACTCATAGTAAATGTATTTATTTACACTTGCCTGCCATCTTAACAACATTTTCAACAAAAAATTAATCTATTACTTTTAACGATATTTATATTTATTTTTTTATTTTTATTTTTTTTTTTAAGTTTCGAATACTTTAGTATGCGTAGAAACAGCGTTTTTCAAGATGGCTGATGATTGTAAAAATCGCGCCAACAATTGCGCCAACGTAAATCGCCAAAAATCCGTGCAACCGTCTACCAAAGTAGCACCAAATTTACTTAAACAGTAATTATTAGTGAATGTGTACATGCTAATTAATTTGTGATTGATATGTTTACTGTATCATTCAAACATTTTTTCCCATTTTAACTAAATAATTTTTATTATCGTTTATATGACAATTTATTCCTAAATAATAACTCAAAATAATAATCTAAAATGCATGCAAATAGGGAACTAGATTCAAAATGCTTTAATTAAAGCAGTAAAAATGCTTTACTTTAAACTAAGTTTATTTTAAATACTTCAGGAAACACACTTACCTGCTACACATGTGTTATGATGAATGACCAGTATGTAAAAAGAGTTCAGACTTCCTTTCAGATAACAGTTTTCTATTTGTCATTAAGTTATTTCAAGAAATCAAATAACATAAATTTTCATTATATCGTTTAGGAAATCGAAATACGATGCTTGTTGCCATTGAACAAAGCAAAATATTAAATCCAGCATCTATAAAAACGTGCAAGCGAAGACTAAAAAAACTTTCTTGAACGTTCATTCTCGTTCATCTCGAGAATTAGACGCCAATTTTTCAACATTTTGAATCAGCACTTAAATAAACTGTATAGTCTTTTATAATATTGGTTTGAAATGGCCATCTGGCCCCAAGATACTACAGTTTCCCCCGCTAGGGTTGCCAGAAAGTTACAAGGAAAGGCAGGCATGCCAGATTTGGCTCGCAATTGTACCATTTAGCGACAAAATTGGATATATGCATTTGAGCGGAGTGAGAACATTCTAGAACAAAGTCACCGGTTTTTGCACAAAATGTTCGAAAGCTATATAAACGCTATCTGTACGTGGAGTAGCAGTGTATCGTGAGAGCATCGAGAGTATTTTGAGTTCAATAGTAGTGTTTTGAGTTCAGAGATTAGCTTGAGAGCCGCCGGATCGAGTCGAGAGTCGCGTTTTGAAATAAACGATTGAAGGAAATCCTCTCCAAAGTCACAAGAGCTTGCCGAAATCTTAAGTATTAATCAAAGTGATTTGGCACTGGCAGAGCTTAGGGATGGTGTCGAAATCCAGCACTTAGCTTTCCCATCAGTTAACAGAGACATATTTCAGGACACGTTACGTTTGTTGTGTTCCGTTGACCAAATGTTAATAGAAAGGAAACTTCTAGTATTGAACTTACACAAATCTTAATGGCTTCTGCTTACAATGAAACAGAAAGGGAAAAACTAGTAGGAAAAAAAAAATAAATAAATAAAACCTCATACATTTTCATTATCATTACCATCAAGTCTTGCAAATATACACACAAGGAAAAACAATCTTCAGGCGAAAAATAATTAAATAAATTATGAAAAAATCACTAATGTGACAATATTATGTTAAAAAAACTACTAAATCAGGGCAAGTGCTGATATTATTACCCTAGTAATCATCAGTCTTACTTCAGTTATAAGACATTTATTTTAAAGATGTTATTATATTTACTTCAGTTATAAGACAGGAATTTTAAAGATGTTTTACTTTAAAAAAAAAAAAAAAATGGACTTGTCAAGTACGATAACCGCAAATATATAGATCTTAGTGCTTTGCCGTGACGCTGTCTTCACCGTTATAACCTGAAGAGTGTGTTGCTGATTGTTTCAGCGTGTTTGTCGTAGTTTTTCGACGACTTTAAACGTATCTTTGGAATTGTCCTCTTTAATATTGAGGAATAAATTGTGTTTTGATTCTTCATCAAGTGTTGTCATGAATCACTCCAAAGCCGCGAACCCGTAGAACACAACAATATGTACTTAGAATATCTCAGACTTGAAATAGTTTTTGGGGTTTTTAGATGATTACTAAACACCAATTTAAAAAGAATAAATTTTTTTTAATAAATCAAAATATATACATAAGGTTAGAATGACATTAATCTGTGCGATGAACAGAGCGAACTTTCAAAAGTAAGGAGCTCCTTTTTGCAGTCCCGCAGAGAAAAGATGCTTATCGCACAGGCTGTAGAAGGAGAAATCGGGTCTAAAGTCAGCGTTGAAGCAACACGGGGCCGAAAATAAAACTCTACAATAGTACAATTATGAAGAACGTTTTAATCGAATTTCTTTTTTGAAATTCAATCAAGCTTGACTTTAGCTTATAGAACTTCAGTTTATTTTTTTAAGAGTTAAAAATTTTTTAAACTTTTAAAGACTCCTTCTTTGATTATCGTACCACCAAAAACATGGAGCATCAAGACCTGTAGCAAAATCAAGAGCGCTACCGAAAATTATTAGGAGAAATAGTCACAATGCTCCATTTCTAAAATAAAACATTTTCACCAGCACGAATTTAAAAATTGCATATAAGGTTGTTCGTGCTTTATGAAGTTTCGTCGTATGCCACTTAGCTTTTAAAAGAATTAGATTAATACATGCTTTTGTTGCCTGAAAGAAATGCAAACACTTCGAATTCGCAAAAAGAAGTTAAATTTTATTTATTTATTTATAACTAGTCAAAAGGGGCGTTAACCCAGAAGGGCTATTAATCTCGAAACAGTATTTTACATCCGTTCATTATAAATGCCCGTTTCACTTTTCAAATTGCTGCCACCAAATACTATCCTCCTTTATTATATTTAAAGAAATTTAATGATGAAGAATCTGCATGTAGTATGTATGTTTCTCGCACTGTGAAAGAAACAACGGTACACAAAGCCATCAATTTTTGAATAACGTAGTCCTCCACCCGAATATGGGTACGTGGAAGCCTGAATTTGGAATTTGGTTTATTGGATATTTCCTATTTTGTAAAACTTTAACAAATTTTTGATTAACAAACCCGGTGCTTTCAAAACGAGGAATGGCAACACTGCACGGAGAAAAAACATTTATATCTCCAGCGCGCGAGACTACCTATCAGAAGTTCTAAAGGTATGCTGTTTTGAAATATTTATATATATATATATGTGTGTGTGTGTGTGTGTTAAAATTCATGATTTGTTTTTATTATGCTGTAATTTTAATGTAATTAATTAATTAAATGAAATTAAAATGCAGTGTATGATTTAAAAAAACGAATATTCATCGTTCGGAATTTGTAGACAGCAATTCTTTTTTTTGTTTGATGGACATTGAAACATGCTTTCGCTTTGTAGATACTTTGGCAGCTCCAGAATCGGAAATTCTTTTTAACATAATTGAAAGTTCAAACTTACTTTTATAAAATTGCTGTAACAGTCTGCATAAAATAATAAGCCGGATCCAATTAGAAAATTAAGGAACAACGCAATCTGCAACATTAACTAAAATAGGTAATTAGATAATTTTAGCTTAGCTTATACCACCTGTTATACATTAAACGCGCATGCGTAAAGGTATTGTGCGCATGCGTGGAAGCATTATGCGATGACGCATGCGCAGAAAGTTTGTAGTTTTGAGGTCCGAATTATGGACGTCCGTATTAAAGACTTTTGACTGTACATATTATCTAAAGTATTTCTGAATTGCTTAGAACTGTAATTTATAACTTAAGTGCATTTTAAGGGCATTATATTTTTGCAGTTTTATTCCACAGTAATAATGCACTGATAATTTTTTATTATTATTTTTTTTTTTTATTTTTGTGTGTTCAGTATCCCAGTTTAGGATCTGTTACATTTACATTTCACATAATACTATTAAATCATGTTTTAAAATTTACCTATAGCTATCAGAGGTTTGTGCAATTTAGATCTATATGAGACCTATAACAGAGGTCTGCTATTTGCTTTTTAGAATGCAAAATAACGTATAATTCTCTCTGTGCAATTAATGTCTCATAATTATGAAAACTTATTTAAATCATTGCAAGCTTAGTGTTATTTTTCAAATACCAGTATATATTATTATTGTTATTACTATTATTAATCGGCAACATATGTCAAAAAGGAGACATATTATTTATAATTATCAAAGTTGGTTATTGTTCAAGGTAATTATACTAACCACGCTATTATTATAATATCGTGGTAAGTATATTTACTACGAGCCTTGATTAGTGAACATCTTTGATTAATTAAATTTGTCTTCAATTAATGATTTTATATTACATGATTCCAGGCAAAATATCTTCTTAATTTAAACGAGTTCAGATTTATCTTCATTTTTTAGGATCTGTATCTATATCCTGCTTTCATGTCTTAAACCGTCTACTTTAAAATTCAGATAACTCATTTCTAGTAAAAGCTACATTTTGACCGTTCTTCCGCCCGTTTATTCAATTATGATCTCGGATATATGGACTTTAGTCTAAAATAATTCTCATTTTTTTAGTTAAAAGTGAACTTTGATCACTATTTCACCGATCTAAATTCCGATTAATTAAGTGCGAAGTTTCTTAGCGATTAAATTTGGTAAAATCAGTAATGATAAGTTTTAACATAATTAAAAATTATATTTATTCCTATCAAAAACATTCTAAAAATAAAAAATCTCGGTTCTTCACAATCTAAGGAATTTTCGAGATTTATAAACTATGAGAACTAAATATGAAAATTTAAGTTCAATTCATTTATAAGCCTATTAAGAAGGCAAATATACGCACCTTTAAAGTTAGCGAGGACGAAAGTATCCCTACCGTAGTGACGTCACGAACTCCGTGCCGAGGCCTTCAGTTAACTTCTAGGTGGTGTTGACTCAACACACTCAACATACTCTTCATGATAAACTGCGACTCCGAGTACAGGCAGGGTATTTATAGCCTGTACGCGGATTTGACCTGCCTTCGAGAACATTCTTAGGCAAACCGGTAAGAATTCTTCTAGAATGTTCTCACTCCGTCTATGGTATATCGCCGATTTTGTAGCCAAATGGGAGATTTCTTGCCAAATATGGCAATCCTACCTTTCTTTGCCCCTTTTTGACAACCCTAAGCCCGCTTTGCAGGAAAGCTATCTTACCGCAGTTTGGTATTTCGTAACATTGCATCCTTCGAAGGACTGCACGTTTCGCGCAGTACAATCCTGGGTCAGAAGCCAAATTTAAAAGGTAACAAAACAAACAAATAAGGCAAATAAAGACAAAATAAACAAATACTTACACTATTTACAAGCTGCATACACAAATTAAGTACATAACAATTTTAAATTATATAAAGTTCAGAATGAATTTCAGTCTCAGGTTTTTCATTAAGTTATATTTGGGTTAATTATTTTTTCACTGCAATCCTCAAATGCGTTTCTGTTTTGCATATCACATTCTGAAGATGCAGTCCTTTCAGATTTTTCATCCACAGGAAGATCTGAAACAGTTTCGTTGCTTGCGTAACTGTACTAGGCAATGGGGTGAAGTTGCCACGGCACTGGGTTGCCGTTTCATTTGAGACGTAGACAATTTCCTGTAAAACTTGCCTTTGCTATGGCCATCAATAAGTCTCAGGGCTAAACGCGTGTTGGCAATAAGCGTGTC